GCTTGGTTTGTTGTTCGGATTATTTTTCGATCCTGAAGATGGAAGCGACATGTTCCTCCGAAATGTCGTTAATTTTCAAAGGACTACACGGTGTTTCATCCCAGATGATATAACTCTTCATAACCACCGCTGTGAGAATCTCCAGGTTCTACAAATGCCACACTAACCCTTTGGTTTTGTATTTCCTATTGCTATAGACTGGGGGCACGCGGTAGGGTAGTTGGTTGATGGGCTATGCTACAAGCCGGAAGGTCGCGGGTTCAAGTCCTGCTGAGGTCATCAACTGCTCCCAATTCATTAATAATAATAACATGGACGGTACATACTCACGAAACTGACAGCGTCATTAAGTAAAAGTAAAAAAAAGTAAAGCCATCCCTGTAACGGGCAGTGAAGGCCCATTGAGTTGTGAGATGTTGAGGTTCCCACATTATCTAGACAACCGGCTCATAGATGGCGGTAAGGCTGTCAGCCTTAAGCGCCGGCCGCCCTTTACTCCCAAGAATATTCCTGGTACTCATTCCTGTTAGAGGCTAAGTCGACCCCCGGACCACAGTGCGGCCGGAAGGGTTACGTCAATTGAAAAAAACCAATGATGTCATCAGAACTTGAACTCGCGACCTTCCGGCTTGTAGCATAGTACAGTAGCGACCTTAAAAAGCTACGATGGCGTTTGTATTATTGCAGATGCGTCTCCAATCCTCGCTTCTTTTGGCTGCGGCTCTGGTGTCTTGCGTAGGGGCTGAGAACAGTGTCCACTCTGAAGATGTGAATGGNTCCTGGTACTCATTCCTGTTAGAGGCTGAGTCGACCCCAGGACCACAGTGCGGCCGGAAGGATTAGGTCAACTGAAAAAACCAATGATGTCATCAGAACTTGAACTCGCGACCTTCCGGCTTGTAGCACAGTGCAGTAGCGACCTTAAAAAGTTACGATGGCGTTTGTATTATTACAGATGCGTCTCCAATCCTCGCTTCTTTTGGCTGCGGCTCTGGTGTCTTGCGTAGGGACAGAGAACAGTGTCCACTCTGAAGATGTGAATGGCAAAGAATATGCGTCCAGACGTTTCGGTGAATTGGGTACCATCAACAAGAAGCTTAATAAGAAGCTTGAAAATGCTTCAGTAGAAATTGATGGATTCTTAGTCAATCGTAACGAATCATCAGCTCACAGAACGATAGAAATAATTAAGGAGTACATAAGCAGCAGGGAAGAGTTTATAGAGCAAATACTTATCCTAAAGACCAACGCCCCGCATTTGAGAAATTTATCCTTCCTCGACGAATCCAGGTGGAATAAGGAGTTAAATCAGACAAAGAAGGAGTTGTCGAAGCTTGAACAGGTTCTGAAATTGTACCAGATGTTACTTAAGTTAAACGAGACGAGTGAAATAGCCAATGACGTAATAAAACTATTTAAATTGGAGGGAAAGGGGCGACATCTAGAGAGCGCAATTAAGTTAACGGAGGAATTAGTACAGGAAATAACATCCTTCATTCAAGAAGTATCTGTTGTCCAGAATTTCATAATATCCCAAAATTTGACAGAGGTCATTACAAGTATATGGATTGAACAGCTCTTAGACATACAATACCTGGAAAATCTTCTGAAAAACAAAACTGAGGATTTACGTGCACTTCAGAGAACAAAAATTCCAGTAGTAATCAACATATATATCCGACCTTCTCTGTTTGTGTTCATTTTTGTGGTAGGACTGGCAGAAAATGGTGTACTCATTACCATTTTCGCCCGTTACCACAAAATTCGCAAATACAGAAATATGATTATCCTTAACCTGTCAATCGCTGACACATTATCTCTTATTATCAATTTGCCTGTGACGCAACTGTATGAATCAGTGTCGTCATGGAATGTGAGTCCAGTTACTGCCCAGATCTTCATGTTTTGTCGGTTCCTTTGCTTTGGGCTCAGCGTTTTCTCAGCATCTGCTCTCTGCTTACAGCGCTTCTCAACAACCCTCAAACTTTCGGTTCGCAGTGGATTCATTATCCGACAATCTACGAAACACGATTCTATTATTCTGATTTCAGCAGTGTGGATGCTGTCTATCGCCTTCGCTATACCCCATAGTCTGTATGGCTGTATTTACTTCGAGGAGTGTTTCAACACAAATGTGGAACTAAATTCCAAAATAGCAAATGATTTGTTCTTAATCGATCTGATTGGTCTCTCTCTTATTCCTGTCGTAGTCATCACGATACTTTACTGGTTCACTGTTCGTCACCTGAAACGCAGAGCACTCAGACTTCCAGCAGACTTGCCTGAACATCAAAAAGCATACCAAAGGAAAATACTGTCAAGAAGCAAGAACATCATGACACTAACCCCAATTGTTTTTGCTGTCACTTCTTTGCCCTATTATTTTTACGTAACTATAGATTCTTTCATGGGCAGCGACATAAATTCTCTTTCGTACACAATCATTAAAGGAGCCCTATACTGCCTGATTTTTGTGAACTGCAGTTTCAATCCTGCGGCCCTATATTTCACGAGCGGAACTTTTAGACGTTATGTCAGAATGCATTTCTTCTGGTGCAGGCGAAAGTCAGACAAACGTATCAAACAAAAACAAACACAGCGAGTCTTACCCGGTGAGGAAGACAATACAATGGACACTGCTCTTTGAAGCACAACATTTCTGACACGAATATATCGACAAGTCTACATTTGTTCCCGCAATATTCATCTTAGATACTAAAAGCCAAATTCTGAGTGTCAGAACTTTGTGTCTCGGCACATCACAACTACAAGACGTTTGGATTTCGTGCTATGCAAAATTAGAATTCTCTTTCAAATTCGTAATTATTTAGTACAAATCTATTAAAGAGACATGTACAGCAGGCATCAGGAGGCGGAAGAAGGAATTTAATAGCCTATTTTAAAGTACCTTTCTACATTTGCGAGAGGAACCAAAATGGACCACGAGAAACCTCAATGAGAGAGAACAGGCAGTCCCCAGGCCGAAATTCGAGTGAAGAGCCACCTGATTACGAAGCATAAGTGCCAGACAGTCCACTGTGCTACTCAAAACGCAAAGCCATTTCCATGAAGAATTAAGGAAACAGAAATTTTAGGAAAATGTCAGAGACTGTAAACGGCAGCTAACTGTGGATGGGTGGCGAGTGTGAACGACGCCGGGAGAAGACGTTTATCAGCGCCGGATGTGGTTAGCAAGTTTCAACTCCGGCAGTGAGCACAGCCCTTCAGCGTACTTGGACATCAGCAACTTTCCTGTGTTCCGCCAATCTCAATGCTCCGGCTTATTCCCATCAGGTGAGTTCGTAAATCTCATGCTTTAGTCTCAATTATGAGATATCTTAGGGGGCAAACGTACCATCCTTTGAAGAGTCCTGTCTTCTGGGATATAACACCGCGTAGTAAAAAAAAAAAAAAGTAAAATAAAAATAAAGCTATCTCTGTAACAGGCCGTCAAGGCCCATAGGGTTGTGATACGTCCTGGTTCCCACATTATCTAGACAATCGGCTCACAGATGGCGGTGAGATTGTCAGGCTTACGCTCCGGCTGCCCTTTAACCCCACAAAATTATTTAATTAATTCCTGGTATTCATTTCTGTTAGAGGCTGAGTCAACCCCAGGGCCATATTGCGGCTGGAAGGATTAGGTCAATTAAAAAAAATCCAATAACCTCATCGGGACTTGAACCAGCGACCTTCCGGCTTGTAGCATAGTGCCTCAACCAACTACGCTAGTCCTGTGAAAAATCAACCGATTTTTCGGAGGGAGATATCGTATTCATCTTCAAGTATCAAGGGTAAACCAAGCAAGAAATCAGCTTGAAACAGCTGAAAGTACCAAGACTTTATATCCCAGAAGATGGAATCCTTCATAACTACTGCTATGAGAGAGTCAGACCCCATCTTTTGTGTCCTT